CTGTCATTAGGAAAATACAAAAAAAAATATTATAGAATAGAAATTATTGGTTATCATCCAGCAGTGTATTTGATTTCTTATCCAATTAAAATACATAAGAAAAAATAAAGCCTGTCAATTAGACAAAAGTCAAAAGTTTTTTGGTTTTTTTTACATTTCTGTCCCCCTCGCTTCTGAAATGATGGCTATGCCCCTATGTGTGCAGGACAGAAAACAGAGCACACGCCTTCTTGTGCTTGAATGGTTTAAAGTCATATTAAAATGCGCACAAAGGAATCGATAAGAGGAATCAAAATTTTAATTTTATAACAACTAGACGATTCCTAACCTTAAAAGCATCCTATTCCAGAATTGGAATAGATTTTGGATTCCCAAGCCTAGGTATGGGTTTAAATGTTAAATAAAATGCTGAATGTGTCCCTGGAGTCCACCTTTGTTATTATTACAAACTACAATTTCAATGTGATTTTTAACCATTCAAGTCAAGAAGACTCACGGGCTGTTTTCTCTGCTGTGCAGATCCTTGTGTAAGTGTTCTTTAGCCTGTTGACTTTCATTCATAGTATTCAGCTAACAAGGACATATTTTGCAATAAGAGTTAGAATAAATGTGAATGATATCTAAGATTTTTTATTCTTTATTTATTTATTTATTTTTATTATTATTATTATATATTTTTTTACCTTATTGGAATCGAAATTAGGAATTGACAAGAATCGGAATCATAAAAATTCCAACGATGCCCAAACTTACTCATACCCCACATTATTTCTTACTGGCACATTTCAATTCACAATGTTTTAAACCATTTCTTTTCTTTTAAACCCTCACTTACCCTTCTTTGCTTTTGCCCTTCTTAAAAACAACCACATAATCTTATACATGAATGTACTTTTCAAAATAAGTTATAAAACAGTTGCTCCTGGCAACAGGGATAGGTAGTATGTTTGCTTATCATAACATCAAACATGACAATTTATGAGACTAATATCATGTTTTGCTCCAAAATCACTATATTTTTTTTTTTTTTTTTTTGTCCTACCAAAAATGTGCCTGGAGTCCACCTTTGTTATTGCAACAAACTACACTTTTAATGTGATTTTAAACCATTCAAGTCAAGAAGACTTGTGCTGTTTTCTCTGCTGCACACACATCCTTGTGTAAGTGTTCTTTAGCCTGTTGATTTTCATTCATAGTATTTAGCTAACAAGGAAATATTTAGCAATAAGAGTTAGAATAAATGTGAATGATATCTAAGATTTTTTATTCTTTATTTATTTATTTATTATTATTATTTTATTTTTTTTACCTTATAGACCAATTACCGGTTTGTAAACATTCAGGATGCGCGCGCATCATGGTTGCAGAAAACCCGGGAGAGATAGCCTTTACAGCTAGAGAATTTCACGGATACGGTACAAAATAGTTAGGTTTAAAAAGATTATAAATTATATTGATTAGATGTCATTTTCAAAATGTTCTACGCATATTACAAGAGCTTGTCAGCCAGCGATAAGCACTGTTATTCAACAAAATTGACGTTAAAGAGTGCGATAGTCTTACAGATCCGAAACAGGGATGATGTTTTTGTGGGCGGAGCCTATCTGGAGGCAGAAAATGAGGGTTTTCAAGCGGCAGTCTATGGAGCCATGGAATAAAAGAATAAAAAAAGGTAAATTTGATTTTATATTTCAAAATTATGACTTTATTCTCGCAATTCCGAGATTATATCTCACAATTCTAATAAGGAAAAACAACTCGTCATTCTCTCTTTTCCCCTCGGCTCTTCTGGATTTTTTCCCCTCAGATTTGACAAACTCACTATTTTTGAGTTAAGTCGAGTTATAAAGTCCGAATTAGGAGATATAAACTTGCATTTGCGAGAAAAAAAGTCAGAATTGTGAGATAAAGTAAATAAATGTTATGTAAAAATGTTAATAGTAAGGTTTAAATAATATTTCATGCTGTAACTGTAGGGCTAATACAATACGTACCCTATGAACAGCATATGTGAATATTATGTAGACCTATAGTTTAAATCGAATTTATGCTTTAAAAGTAGAGTAATCATAACAGTTTTCATCCATAGTATGTCCATTTAAACGTCTGCGTTTAGCTTCAAATGACGACAGTATTCTATAAAAATTATTTGCATTCCGATCTTGACAAAAAAGGCACAAAAATATTTGTTTCTTTTATTCCATGGATTTTACCCATTTA